AATTGCTCACTGCAACCTCCGCCTCCCACGTTCAAGCAATTCTCCTGCCTCAGACTCCCAAAGTGCTGGGATTACAGGCATAAGCCACTGCACCCCGGCCAATAATTTTTCAATGATGTGATTTTTTGCTGGCTATATTAAATGGCTACCACAGTGGTATAAATAAATCTCATGATGTTGATCAAAATCTCCCAGCACAAAAGAGAAAAACATGATACATGATTGTATACACTTTTCTGTGTATAGACTGCATAGTTGAGTAATTTATAAATTATTTTTATTATTTTTGAGATGGAGTCTTGCTCTGTCGCCCAAGCTGGAGTGCAATAGCGTGATCGCTCGCCTCACTGCAACCTCTGCCTTCCAGGTTCAAGTGATTCTCCTGCCTCAGCCTCCTGAGTAACTGGGATTACAGGCGCATGCCACCACGCCCAGCTAATTTTTGTATTTTTGGTAGAGGTGGGTTTCACCATGTTGGCCAGGTTGGTCTTAAACTCCTGAGCTCAGTTGATCCACCCGCCTCCACCTCCCAAAGTGTTTGGATTATAGGTGTGAGCCACCATACCCAGCCAAATTATTTTATATGGTACTATCTCTGAGGACTTCTTAGAAATGTCAGATTGACTCACACCTTTTTTTGGTCTCTATTTATGCATTTGCCAGTAGTAAAGCTTCTTGCTCCCTAAGGCTTCACGCTGTGAAATACCCACAGTGCTGGGGGCCCTGTCTCAACGTGTTCTTCCCTCTACAGATACGAGATGGCTGTCCTCTCTAAGGAATATGGTTTCGTGCTTCTAACTGGCGCTGCCAGCTTTATCATGGTGGCTCACCTAGCCTTCAATGTTTCCAAGGCCCGCAAGAAGTACAAAGTGGAGGTAAGTGGGAACACAGGCCGGCGCCCTAAGTAGGCTTGTCTGGGGGCTACAGGCTTAGCCAAGAACTTGTTTTCAGCCATGGGTGGAGACGAGGAACTAGTTGTGAAAAGTGACAGTTTCAGGACTGTATCTATTAGCGATTCTGCTTCTTTATGGTAGCAAAGAGGCAAGAAATAATGAGGCCCTGCTAGGGGGTGGTTTCTATCTTGTTTGACCTTGTCTTTTCTGTAGAAAGACCAGGTATGCTGGGATTCCAATAGTACACTTTTGGCTGGAGCTATTTGCTAGGAAGAGAGTTACTGCATTTTCTATAGAGGCTAAGTGGCAACATTGTTTCACAGTGTGCCACTTTAAAAATGATGTCTTAAGGTGATTTTCCTGTTTTCCAAGTAGAAAAGTGGTATGGAGTGTTGAGGGTAGCCTGGACTTATACATAGGAAGGTGGTCTATTAAATACTTTTTTTAGTTTTAGGGGATCTAGAAGGGATAATTACTGAAGTTGTCCCTGGTGAGCAATTTTAATGTCTGTTTCTGTTTAGCAACTTAATAATTAAACTCCCTTACTAGAGCTTCTTTTAAGTTTTTTATTTAGTTTCTTTTTTTTTTTTTCCTTCCAATGGACACTTCCATTAAGATTCTCACACACTCAAAAAAAATAAAAAAAAATTAAAAAAAAAAAAAAAAGATTCTCACACACTCTATTTCTGTTCTTCCATTAAGGGAAATCTTAAAATGATGTGGTATTTGATGACTCTTAGGAAGGCTCTATTTCCAAGGCTCTATTTCCCTACGGTATCCTTGTAATGCATCTGAAATCCACCATTAATGCTTAACGTCAATGAAAAGCACTGAGTTTGGTACAAAGCTGCCTCTGGCGCTTGTGCAACTACAGCACAGACATACATTCTTATTCCTGGATATTTAATACAAATGTTGGATCTGCTTATGGGAATTGAGACCCTTGCCACTATAAATATTTAAGCAAAAATTGAATGGTCATCTATCAAGGGTATGAAAGAAGATACTTTGCAGTATATTATTTTTAAGGTTGATTTTAAGTTTCAACAGTGAACACTACTCTTGACCATCTGATCAATATGTGTTTTGTTGTGACAGTATCCTACCATGTACAGCACGGACCATGAAAATGGGCACCTATTCAACTGCATTCAGCGAGCCCACCAGAACACGTGAGTGTTGGCCCTGCCGGGCACCAAAGACATCTGAGAGTGGGTGTTTTCTGTCTCACACCTCATCCCTTAGTGCTCTGTATTTGCTGAGTCATAGTGATGGTGACAGACATAGGCACCTCATCAAAAGTATTTAAAGATTATATATGGGTGCCGGGTGTGGTGACTCATGCCTATAATCCCAGCACTTTGGGAGGCTGAGACGAGCAGATCATGAGGTCAAGAGATTGAGACCATCCTGGCCAATATGGTGAAACCCCATCTCTACTAAAAATACAAAAATTAGCTGGGTGTGATAGTGTACACCTGTAGTCCCAGCTACTTGGGAGGCTGAGGCAGGAGAATCGCTTGAAACTGGGAGGCAGAGATTGCAGTGAGCCCAGATTGCACCATTACGCTCCAGCCTGGCGACAGAGTTGGACTCCGTCTCAGAAAAAAAAAAAAAATTATGCATGTGAACAGATTGACTATTAAGCAAACTTAAGAGCGCTTGGAATGGTGGGATTTCTTAATATTCTTTTCAAAAAACGTCTTCGTGGTTGTATTACCTGCTACAGTTTTGCAGCATGACCCATCTAAGTTTAAGCCTCTCGCAGGCCCAGGGAGTGGAGAGGTTTTGAGTGCTGTAAGGAAACCCACTTTGACTCGCCAGGACCTTCCACTTCCATTTGTTAGATGTGAGGTCCTTTTACTCAGCATGTTCCAAGTGACCATAATCCCATGCAGAACAAAGGAGGGTGGATGTTAGTGACCAGCTCTTCTCCCTGCAGTCAATGTTTATTTTTACTCTCAAGTTTCTAACTTGGCAAGGAAGATTTAAAGATTCATGGTGCTGGTCAGGTGCAGTGGGCTCACACCTGTAATCCCAGCATTTTGGGAGGCCAGAGTGGGTGGGTCACTTGAGGTTAGGAGTTTGAGACCAGCCTGGCCAATATGGTGAAACCCCATCTCTACAAAAAGCCAGGCAGGGTGGCATGCACCTGTAGTCCCAGCTACTCAGGAAGCTGGGGCACGAGAATTACTTGAACGTGGGAGGTGGAGGTTGCAGTGAGCCGAGATTGCACCATTGTACTTCAGCCTGGGTGAGAGTGAGATGCCCTCTCCAAAAAAAAAAAAAAAAAGTGTGGCCGGGTGCAGTGGCTAACACCTGTAATCCCAGCACTTTGGGAGGCTGAGGCGGATGGATTACGAGGTCAGTAGTTTGAGACCAGTCTGAACAATGTGGTGAAACCCCATCTCTAATAAAAATAGAGAAATTAGCCAGGTGTAGTAGTGTGTGCCTGTAGTCCCAGCTACCTGGGAGGTTGAGGCAGGAGAATTGCTTGAACCCAGGAGGCAGAAGTTACAGTGAGCCAAGATCATGCCACTGCACTCCAGCCTGGGCAACAGAGCGAGACTGTGTCTCAAAAAAAAAAAAAAAAAAAAAAAAAAAAAAGATTTCTAATTCTGCAGAGACATACTTAAAAGGAGCACTTTTTAAAAGTTTCTCTCTGTCAATTCCAGGTTGGAAGTGTATCCTCCCTTCTTATTTTTTCTAGCTGTTGGAGGTGTTTACCACCCGGTAAGTTTTCCAGGAAGTGTTCATCTATTTGGATGTAGTTTACTGAGCTATTATCAGGGACAGAAGAAGGAAATAAACTTTTAATGAATATCTTCAGTGTCTAGGCACTATATATTTTAAATGATTTTATTCAGTTATTTCTTACAGAGTTCTTTAAAGTAGGTGGGGTTTTCCTCATTTTTTACACATAAGGAAAAGCCTCTCAGATACTATTTAAACTTCACAAGGTCAAATAGCTACAGAGTAGCAGAAACAGAATTTGAACCCAGGTCTGTCTGGTTCTAGTTTCATGTCTATAAGAGTTCATTTGTCCTATTCATTCATTCACACAACAAACGTTTACTCACCACCTGGGGTCACAGCAGTGAGCAAAGCAGACAAAGACCCCTGGTTTCACAGAGCTTGTCTTTTTGTTGCAGGGCGTGGGGTGGTCACAGACAAAAAGCAACCTAAGTAAATTCATCATGTGTTAGGAGGTGGTGAGTGCACAGAAGAAAACAAAGCAGGGAAGATGGAAAGGGGGTGTGGAGTGGGATAATTTTCAATAGTGTGGTCAGGGAGGAGGGCTTTGCTGAGATGATAGTTAAGCAAGTATAGAAGGAGGTGAGGGGCCAGGCACGGTGGCTCAAGCCTGTAATCCCAGCACTTTGGGAGGCCGAGGCGGGCGGATCATGAGGTCAAGAGATCAAGACCATCCTGGTCAACATGGTGAAACCCCGTCTCTACTAAAAATACAAAAACTAGCTAGGCGTGGTGGTGTGCGCCTGTAGTCCCAGCTACTCGGGAGGCTGAGGCAGGAGACTTGCTTGAACCCGGGAGGCAGAGGTTGCAGTGAGCCGAGATTGTGCCACTGCACTCCAGCCTAGCGCCTGGCAACAGAGTGAAACTCTGTCTCAAAAAAAAAAGAAGGAGGTGAGGGAGCAGGTACTACACGTGTCTCCTGACCTCCGGCCAGAAGAGCAAGGCCTGAGGCAAGCTCCTGTCTGGTTTGTTTGGTGAGCAGTGAGAAGCCAGTGGAGCCAGGAGAGGGGCAGCTACAGAGGGCAGTGGGGTGATGAGGCAGCTCACCGGGGCCTTGCAGGCCTCTCCAGTATAGATGGCCCTGTGGGCTGCAGATTTCGTCTGCACTTAAACATATCTAACTAAAGCAAGTTTACCTGCCTCTAATTGTCATTTGGGTCTTGTCTTGGACAGAAGTGTTCCCTTCTCTGAGGCCAGCTTATCTCCTGAAACAGTTCTGACCAGAGCAGTGACCCTTCAGACTTCTGGTTCTAAGGCTTTCCTAACCATCTGGTCCATACCTGAATGCCTTGTACTTTTCTTAAAAAGCTGCCAGAATGCCACACCTACTGCTCATGACCTTGAAGGCTTGCATTTTTTTTTCAAAGAAACATCTACTGCTCTTGTATCTCTTAGAAAAGGTATCTTTCTGGTGCCTATAAAAATCCCTATTCCTAGCAAGTGACCAGACTAGCTGATCTGAATAGCCCAGGTCTCACTTGTGTCCCCACTCCATCCCCATTCCTGTCCCACATCCCTGGATCCCATTCCTTATGGGTAGTTCTGAAAAATAAGAGCCAGTCTGGGGGCAAGCACTTAACAATTGTTCCTAGGTTACCAGTCGTGAGGCAACATGATAGCAAAGGACCTGGCAGAGACTGGAGCTGCTAAATCGTGACTCAAGGACTGGCACCTATTTTCAAACCTCCTGTTGATATTTAGTGTTACCCAAAATCAACTCAAATAAAAACCCTGATGAAGTAACTTTGTCCCTACCTGTAGCACTGGAAAACACTGGGGAAGGCAGCCTTCTCACACACTCTCTTTGTTCACCCCAGCATGCTGGCCAAAGGGACGGATTTTTTAATCTAAGTTTTTACTCTCTCTTTCCAAGGGCATTGGGCGGGCACAGGGAGAATTTTCCCTCAAAGACCATGTACCCCTAGTGTAGGCTGCAGACACGCCTGCTCCCAGCCCTGCCAGTGACTGACTTCACACAGAACAGCAACTGAGTTTTCAGTCAATCTCATGCTCAGAGGCCCATTTGAGAAAACAGGGCATTTCCCCTAGTCCTGAGTTTGGGGCAGTTCTCTCTTCTGGCTTACCTTGACCCCCCCGGCCCACATGTCCTTCTCTTGCTCTAGCACAAGTTCCCCAAGATGCCCAGGGCAAGCAGAGGGATTCCTTCCATCACACCTGTCTAGGAGAAGGCCAGTACTCATCTCCCAGGTTCACAAGCCAAGCTGTTCATAGAAGAATCACAGATTTTTTATTTTCCTGACTGAAACAAGTAACTTAATTCTACCTAATTTGGATGGGGAGTAGTTGGCCAAATCCATGAAATTATTGACTTTTTGCTAACATAGTGTATAATCAACCCTAGTTGTTAATAAAGTTATGCTTGTTTCTTTCATGCAAATACTAATGTAGCCCTTTTTTCTTAGCGTATAGCGTCTGGCTTGGGCTTGGCCTGGATTGTTGGACGAGTTCTTTATGCTTATGGCTATTACACGGGAGGTAAGTATATATTGACATTTGCCAAGAAAACAAATTTTAAATTTTAAATCCTGTGCTGGCCAGGCACAATGGCTCACCTGTAATGCCAGCACTTTGGGAGGCCAAGGCAGGAGCTCAGGAGTTGGAGATGAGTCTGGGCAACCTGGTGAAAACCTGTCTCTACAAAAATCACAAAAATTAGCTGGATGTGTGGTCACACCTGTAGCCGCACCCACTTGGGAGCCTGAGGCTGGAGGATTGTCTCAGCCCAGCAATTTCAGGCTGCTGCGGGCCATGACTGCACCACTGCGCTCCAGTCTGGGAGACAGAGCAAGATCCTATCTCAAAAAACTAAATAAGGCCGGGCGCGGTGGCTCAAGCCTGTAATCCCAGCACTGTGGGAGGCCAAGGTGGGTGATCACGAGGTCAAGAGATCGAGACCATCCTGGTCAACATGGTGAAACCCCGTCTCTACTAAAACTACAAAAAATTAGCTGGGCATGGTGGCGCGTGCCTGTAATCCCAGCGACTCAGGAGGCTGGGGCAGGAGAATTGCCTGAACCCGGGAGGCGGAGGTTGCGGTGAGCCGAGATCGCGCCATTGCACTCCAGCCTGGGTAACAAGAACAAAACTCCGTCTAAAAAAAAAAAAAAAAAACCTAAATAAAATCTTACGCTGCTATATTTTTCTTCTTGGGAATTTGAGAAAAGGGGAAGTCTCTTGATTTTAAGTGAAAGGTCTGTTTTCCTTTGACTAATCTTTCAATTGTAACAAAACTTATTTTTATTGAGCATTTTCTATGTGCCAACCACTACCCTAAGAACTTTGCATATGTTTTTTAACCTTACAACAATTCCATAATACAGATATTATCCCACTTTACAAATTAAGAAACTGGGGCTCAGAACGATAAAAGCCCTAGATCACAGAGCATAAACTAGCAATTAAGCCCATGCAGTCTGACTCCAGAGCCTAACCATTACTATACCTGCTATATCTGAGTGAGGAGGAGGGAAAACCATTTTGGGCTGTACTTCTTTGAAAAAGAGGGAACTACTTTCAAAGGTCCTAGAGCAAAGTTGCTGTAATTATTGTTCCATAATTTTCTAAGGTCCAGGTAATGCTGCTATGGCACATTACTTGGCATGTAGTATCTGACTTGCTGAAAGCTTCAGGCTAAAGAATTAGTTAACCTCCTAAGACTAGTTTGTCTAACGTACAACCTCAGATGCCATGATAGATTGGCTTGTGGATGTTGAAAGCATCCTAATTCTGGAGCATTCCTGGTAACTTCTGTTCTTTCTTCTTTTTCAGACCCCAGCAAGCGTAGTCGAGGAGCCCTGGGGTCCATCGCCCTCCTGGGTTTGATGGGCACAACCGTGTGTTCTGCTTTCCAGCATCTTGGTTGGGTTAAAAGTGGCTTGGGCAGTGGATCCAAATGCTGCCATTAAAGATTATAGGGCTTTCAGAACTCTCATTCAAATGACTTACCTTTATTTCCAGTTATATTTTTTTTCCTAAATATAATAAACTTACATGGCATCTGCCTCATACCTAAACCCTGACTCTTACCACTCATTTCTGTTTGAGTCTGTATCTGACGTCAGTAGCTTAGTCCTACTAGATGAGAGAGGAGCCACAAGTATTGCGCCCTTTCCTCATCCTGCCAGCAGATGCTTTCCTAGTATGTGAAGTTGAGAAAAAGTCTGATTGTAGTGATAGATGTACAGTCATACCACAGTGATGAGGAATTAAAGAAAAATCTTTTAGCTCTCAGGATATACTATTATTACTTGCTACAGATACTTAGGCTAACAGTAAAGATTTTTTTTTTTTTAAATCTCAGCTGCACACAGTGGCTCACTCCTGTAATTCCAGCACTTTGGGAGGCCGAGGTGAAAGGAATGCTTGAGCCAAAAGTTCAAGACCAGCTGGGCAACATGGCAAAACCCCGTCTCTACAAAAAAATACAACCATTAGCCAGGCATGATGACAAGTGTCTGTAGTCCTAGCTACTTGGGAGGCTAAGGTGGGAGGATCACTTGAGCCCAGGACATCAAGGTTACAGTGAGTTATGATCACACTGCTGCACTCCAGCATGGGTGATAGAGCAAGACCCTGTCTCCAACAAACAAATAAAAATTAAGTTTCTAGTCCGGGCACGGTGGCTCACGCCTATAATCCCAGCACTGTAGGAGGCTGAGGTGGGTGAATCACCTGAGGTCGGGAGTTCAAGACCAGCCTGACCAACATGGAGAAACCCCATCTCTACTAAAAATACAAAATTAGCTGGGCATGGTGGCACATGCCTGTAATCCCATCTACTTGGGAGGCTAAGGCAGGACAATCACTTGAACCCGGAGGTGGAGGCTGCAGTGGGCTGAGATCATGCCATTGCACTCAGCCTGGGCAACAAGAGCAAAACTCTGCCTCAGGAAAAAAAAAAATTTTCAGTTTCTATTGAAGATTGTTTCTATTGCTTAAAAACTGAAGCAACAGACTAAATGTAAGATGAAATTTAGAGATGAATGTAACTTTCTACATTTAGAAACAAAGATCTGACTGCATAGGTGTAAATGAGGAAGACTTACAAGATTTCAGTTGGTTTAGAGAACACTGCCAAGTTGGCAGAATAAGACAGTTACTCCAAAACATGGATGTGGCCATAAACTACCTTAATAGGAAATATAATGTCTAGACCTGCGCTGTCCAATTGGTCACATGTGGTCATCTAAATTTAAATTAATAAAACTTACATAAAACAAAGAAGCAGTTCTTCAGTTGTACTAGCCCTTTTTCAAATGCTCAATAGCCTGTGAGGATAAGAGACAGTATTTGAACCCAGTTCTGACTCTAAAATCCATGCATTTTCAATCGGACCAGTTTATTGCATAAGCTCTGAAGATGAAGCATTTAAGGATAGAATACCACGGCCAACCATTGAAGATGATGGTCAGCCTTGGCCAAATGGCCACCTGGAGCCCTTGGGGCATTTGATGAGGAAGCTGGACCAGATCAGCACACACTCCAGTGTTAGTTCATGAGAAAGTTTCACCAATGGAGAGGAAAATAAGGAAAATGAAGACTGCTTTTCTTAAGTTTTCACTTGTATTTTTTACATTAAAATGTTCCTTTATGAAATGATGATTATGATGAATGGTAAGGATTTCTGGTCCTGACTTGAAAACATGATACAATTGAGAATTTGTAATAAGACAGGTTTCTGGTTTTTGCTTCATAAGAAACACATCTAGAGAGGCCAGAGAACTTGCTGAGGTTTCCTTTCTCACTGCACAGAGAACAACAGGCATCAGTGAAGCAGAGCAGGGAAGACCTGGAGATGAAGCTGGCTTTCTCACCTTTAAAAGTCTTAACAGGGTATACTTTGCAAACTACAGATGGTCCCCAACTTATGACAGTTGGACTTAATAATTTTTCAACATTACAATGGCGCAACATCAATACTCAGGCTGCGTGTTCTGGCTCACACCTATTAATCCCAGCACTTTGGGAGGCCAAGGTGGGTGGCTCACCTGAGATCAGGAGTTTGAGACTAGCCTCGCCAACATGGTAAAACCCCATCTCTACTAAAGATACAAAAATTAGCCAGGTGATGTCGTGCATACCTGTAATCCCAGCTACTTGGGGGGCTGAGGGAGGAGAATCACTTGAACCTAGCAAGTGGAGGGTGCAATGAGCCGAGATCAAACCACTGCACTCCAGCCTGGGCAACAGAGCAAGACTCATCTCAAAAAAAGAAAAAAAAAGCAATACTCATTCCATAGGAATCATACTTTGAGTGTCAATACAATCATTCTGTTTTTCACTTTTCAGTATTCAGTAAATGAAATATTCAACACTTCATTATAAAAGAGGCTTTGTGTCAGATGATTTTGCTCAACTGTAGGCTAATGTAAGTGTTTAGAGCATATTTAAGGTCACTAGACTAAGCTATGATGTTCAGTAGGTTAGGTGTATTAAATGCAATTTCAGCTTTGGATATTTTCAACTTATGCTGGTTTTCTCAGGATGTAGCCCCATCGTTAAGTCAAGGAGCGTCTTTCATGTGATCCGTTTGCCATTTTGATATTGCCCAGGCTAGTCTCAAACTCCTAGCCTCAAGCAATTTTCCCACCTTGGCCTCCCAAACTGCTGAGATCATAGGCATAGGCCCTAAATGTCCTTTAAGTGTTCTTCTAAGAGGGAGGCAAAGGGAAGTTTGACTACACGGGGAAGAAGGCAGCCGGAACAGGGAGAGATTTTGAAGATGCTAAGCTGCTGGCATCTAAGAAGTGGGGAACACCAGCCAAGGAATGCAAGGAATGCCACTCTAGAAGCTGGAAAAGGATTCTCTCCTACAGCCTCTTGAAGGAGTACGGCCCTGACAACTTGGTTTTTGCCAAGTAAAACCATTTTGGGACTTCTGACTTCCAGAGCTGTAAGATAATAAATGTGTGTTCTTTTAAGCTGCTAAGTTGGTATAATTTGTTACTGCAAGCATAGAAACTAATATACTAGGTTCAGTTCTAGGAAACAGGGAGGGTAGCAGAAAGCATGGGAATTGTAGGCTCACAACTGGCTTGAAGTTGCCACTCAACTTGGAGACCGATGTGAAAGACAAACTTTTTCCTCTGCACTCATGCAACAATCAACACAGAAGACTTCTGTGACCAAATGTTGGGGTTTTCTGTTCACACACCAAGCAGACAATCAGTTCTGCAGGACACCGGGTGGTCATCCTCCAATTCAATTCTGACACTATCTACCAGGAGAGAGCATCAGATCCCACAGATTGAGGGCTCAGTCCCACAAGACTGTCCCCCACCCAACCAGCTGCCAGTCCAGGCTTCTGGATCTCAACCCACTGGCTTGAAGTTGAGGTTCAATTAATTTGCTACAGTGGCTTACAGAACTCAGAAATGCATTTACTGGTTTATTACAAAGAATATCCTAGGCCCGGTGCAGTGGCTCACATCTGTAATCCCAGCACTCTGAGAGGCCGAAGTTGGAGGATCACTTGAGCCCAGGAGTTCAAGACCAGCCTGGGCAACATGGTGAAACCCTATCTCTACAGAAAATACAACAATTAGCCAGGCCTGGTGGCACATGCCTGTATTCCCAGCTACTGGGGAGGCTGAGAGGTGTGAGGTTCACTTGAGCCCAGAAAGGTCAAGGCTTCAGTGAGCCATGATCACACCACTGTACAGTGACAGGACAGAGCAAGACACTGGGTGACAAAGCGAGACCCTGTTTCCAGGAAAAAAAAAAAAAGTATTTTAAAGGATACAAGTAACTAAATGAAGGGATACACAGAGCTAGGTCTGGAAGGGTCCCAAGCATAGGAGCCTCTGTTCCCATGGAGTTAGGGTACACAACCTTCCTGGCACACGCGTGTGTTATTTACCTTCCTGTAAGCCCTCCAGAATGTTCAGCTCTCCAGAAGCTCGCTGAAGCCTGTTCTCTTGAGCCTCTTATAAAGACTTCATTAGATAGTCATGACTAATGGGGTATGATCTAATACAAAGGAGACTGAGTGGGAAACCCGGCAAGGCCTGTCTTCAGATTCTTGGCCTCTCTATGCAGCACTTCTTCCTGCAGGGCAGCAGGGAGGACCCCTTCTAAAATGAGAGTCTTATAACCCATAATCAGAAAAGTGGTGGAAGATTAGAGCCTTGGCTTGGGCAGGTAAGAAGGAGGGCAGAAGGTCAGAGAGAGATGTTCTGTTTTCTGAGCCCTAGAGTGCCCTAACATTGTAACAAAAAACGGTACCAAGGGAGTTATGAACCAGGAACCATGGATGAAAAGATACATAATTTTATATGTAGGCTTAAAATATCACGCTTGCCTGGGACCAAGACGTCTCCAAATCTGTTTCTTCATTTGAAAATCAGAGATAATCCCTTTCTTAGGCTTACTGTGAGCATTAAATGAGAAGGAATGTAGCAGTAGGAGCACAGTGAGTACTTAAATGTTGCTTCCCTTTCCCCTGCTATTTTCTCTTGCAGAGGTGTCCAATCATTTGGCTTCCCTAGGCTACACTGGAAGAAGAAAAATGGTCTCGGGCCACACATAGACACATAAAATTAAACGATAGCTGATGAGCTTAAAAAAAAATCTCATGTTTTAAGAAAGTTTACAAATTTGTGTTTGGCTGCATTCAAAGCTGTCCTGGGCCACATATGGACTGTGGGCCGCAGACTGGACAAGCTTGCTTTAGAGGGACTATCAGAAACTTATCTTCTCCCAGGCAGCTCCTACTGTTTAAGGTACACAGGATCCCCTGGGACACAGGGTTAAGATAAAGCTGTTGGCTTT